CCCCAACCCTCGAAAAAGGAAAAAAAACTTTCAGGACTGAAGATACTGGTTCCTAATTTTGCACTTGTGGAGATCAGGGAGGAAGACTCAGGGTTTATTTTTCCAAAGGTTCCAATGACAAATCATTAGACCAAGCATTGATAAGAATAAAAACCTGGCAAAACCCCTAAGCCCCAAGTAAATCACCTTCAGAACTCATAACTAAACCACAAAAATGATTTGAGTGCATAGTATATATAGTACATATCAGGTATAACATAATATGTTACAAAATCCCATTCTACTTACGGTCATAACTATATGAAAAATGTGACCTGGCTCATAGGCAGGACTTCCAAGCACACCTGGCTCTGTAAATATCAGTTCTCTGAAATGATCAAAATAAACTGGGATGATATTAAGCTGCCTTTGGAATGGTGCAACAAATTTACTGGTAACCAGCATGAACTCATGAAAATTCAATTTTGAGTAGTCTTTCTTTTTTCATAACAAAATTTAGTAAGAGCACACACACACACACACACACACACACACACACACACACACACACACACTCACACACACACACACACACACACACACACACACATACACACGCACACATTCGCAGGCTTAAAATCACATGGATAATATAAATGAGCAGCAATATAAACTGTAATAATCTTAACCTAGATACATACTCCATGTTATTCTGATGCATGCTCTAAGGTCAAAGGAATATTTATACAAGATGGTTTAGATGGAAAAATTTTGATGGATGATGGTAGAAATGACCTTCTGTATCTTTCTTTGTTACAGATCAGAAGCCCAGGTATTTTACTTCTGACTGATGCTTTTATTTATAAGAACAAGGGATGTTTGTTGTCTAAAAAGATGGAATTTTTTTTTTGGGTACAAGCTGTTATGTACAATTCGTCCAAGAAGGGAAATGTAGATGTTGAAATTTTACATGCTTTCTATCTGCTCAGTACCTTGTTTAGAGAACTTTGACGTAAAAAGTTTTGAGTCTCACAACATGTCAAGCTTTTTCGAGTGCAATTCTTTGAATATCTTGATAAGGACTCTGAATAATCTTATGACTTTGACAGAGCAGAAAGAACATTTGGTTTCTGCCCTCATGGTCTTAATAACTCAAAACGGGCAAAAATGTCAGATAGAACTCTGTAGTAATTCTAAGGTAAAGAGATGTGGATGACTTGTTGGTCGTTGTGTTCCAGGTGTTGTGCCAGCCACACAGTTCCTCCAGGACTCTGGTGTGGATCTCACCTCAAGGGGCTTTGTCACTGTCAACAAGGTAAGTGTATAGGAGACTACAGGTTGGACACTTTCCACCCACCCAGTGCGCAGAGCACAAAACCTTTTTCCCTTCCTTCCAGGATGCAGATGGCGTATATCAGTGCTCTACCTGTTTCACGGCAAAAATATACCAATCAGTTTGAAATTTTCCGCACATTGATTTAACTGAACATGATGGTCACCTGTTCACCAAAAAAAAGGAAATAGAATCAGAGCTAAAACCATTAGATCTATAGCACTTTCATTACCCAAATCCTCGTCATGGCGTAGGTGTAAAGCAGCTTTCATGCTAGGTCTACTCTACATAAGCACTCCAAAAGCCACACAAACCATTCAGAGAGAAAATTATAACTTTAAAAAGTGTGCACATTTTAAAGGAGATCATTCGTGCAACATTTTTGTTGCTATATATATCACATCGTCGCCGATTGGCATCCTTTTGGGGGCAAAGTGTTAACTCCCCTTGCAACACTGTTGGGTTATTTAATCACATCGACTCTTTAGTGTAAGACTTTGTCATCAGTCACTTTTCAAAATGGGATATGGCAGAGTCTTACACTAAGCAGTCGATATGGACTAGGGCTAATGCTTGCGCTACCTTTACCCTTATGTGGACAAGTCAATGCCTCAAATAGTGTTCTATGGGGGCCAATCTAGCTGTAGATTCAAAGGAGCTCTGGGGAACTGACCCTATTAGCTCAAATGGGCAGGGCTAAAGGATTACCATAACACAATTAATTGCCACCTTTAACATTGTAGGGTTGTTTGAAAAGGTGTGAGCTTTAATTATTTTTATTCCACTTCTTACAAGCCCAAAGAGTTGACAATCAGGCGAACTTGCCAAGTAGGCCTGAATAAATACATTAAAATTGTTTAGGGGATTTGAACCAGGGTTATCTGCATTATAACCTAGTATTGAGCCAACTGGGCTAATAAGGTGTCTCTGATAAACTTAAACTGTGTTTTTCATACCGTTGTTTCTCTTCTCCCAAAGCAGTAAGTTGTGAAAACTTTTCAGTCCTACTTTGCGTAAAATTATCATTAAATCAGCATCACATTCTGGGAACTTTCTTTTATGAATAATATTGCATAAACAATCTTTGTTTTCCAATATAATCTAGTCACTTTGGGGAAGGGTTAGAGTGTGAATAGGATTGCAGCTTACAGATTTTATTCTGTTTCTTTTGTAGAAAATGCAGACAAATGTGTCAGATGTGTATGCAGCAGGCGACATTGTGGAATTCCCCCTGTTCACCGCGGGCGACCAGCAAGCCAACGTACAGCATTGGCAGATGGCACACATGCACGGTGAGTGGCAGAGGGAGAGAGTGGGAGCGGGCCTCTCACACTACGCAGTTAGGAGAAAGACGAAAGGTGCAGATAACATTTTTTGAGATAATGGCAAGGGTCAAATGGGCAGTACCTGACCCTGTGGGCTCAAGCACACATATAAGCATGAGCAACCTTTGCCCTTCTGCACACCAATGCTCAGTTGTGTAAATCTCCCAGCTGTCACAAAGGAGTATTTTTCTTAATTTGTTGAAAAAACATGCATACATTGTAGATAACAATACATACATTTATCATATACAGTTATTGTAGACATAATTTTATTTTCTTCTGTTTTTTTATTTTCTCGTTGACAGGCAGAATAGCTGGTCTGAATATTGCTGGCAAGCCCACAGATGTCCACAGTGTTCCCTACTTCTGGACTGTCCAGTACGGCAAGAGCATCCGCTACACAGGTTATACACTTCTATGCTCTTTGTTTGTTTCTTTTTTTTGGGTCCCTCTTCCATGGTCTTTGTTGCTGGGCAACAAGGTTAATCTTTCTGATCTGAACACACACCTGTGTGTGCATTACCTGTACCTTTACACACTATCTAAACACACACCTCAGAGTGTGAACTTTTACTCTTCTACACTCCAAACTCACACCTCAGTATATATAAACTTTTTCCTTCCACATCCTCAGGTAAAATGCGCTCATCAGAGTGCAGTAGTATGAATCCATAAGTCATCCCTAAGAAGCTCCAGTGCATGTTTGTGGTCAGATCGGGTAGGGGGGTGTTTGTTGAAATGGACTGGTCCTCAAAAGGCTAAGAGTCTTATGTCACACTTGCAGGATATCTGTTGTAAAGTGCCCCCTGCATGAAAATTATTTTACAGAAAAATGACAAAGAAACTGACTGACTCTGGCTCTTGACCTGAACTGTGTCTTTTCCTTGAATACAGCTTTATGTTCTCATCAAGGAAATTTTGAGAAAAATGTTCAAATTTGTCTCTGTGTTCTCCTGCCATCATCGACATACAAATCTGGTTGCTGTGTTCTGTGTGGTTCAAATGCAGACTTGTGTCATGCCACCTTATGTATCCTGTTTTTTTCCCCTATGTTTGTACATATTAGATGTGATGTATTCTGTCTAATCATCTATGATCTGTTTGTGCTTTTTAGACTGTATTATTACTTCTATTTACTGTCGCTATTTGCTAGTGGTGCTGATTACTCTTTGTGGATGATTGGCGGGTGCTCTGGTGTGGTTTGCCCCTTTCCTATCAAACATCTATCATCCTTATCTCCCCTCTTTCTTTTTGTCATTGTTTCTCTCTTGTAACACCTCTAATCTTTGGCACTTATATGACTTAATTATGTTGCAAATGCTGTAAAATTCTCACTAAAACAAAAACAAACTGTTGCTCTTTTCTAGTGGTGCTGACTACTTCTGTAGTGTAGTATAGAGTGGAAGTGAAGCTGTTCATACCTTCATTCAAATGAATCATTGTGTCTTAATTTAATGATAAGGCAAATTATTTTTAACCCTATTCTCAACCAGGCCTGCTGTATTATTATCCTACTTTACAGCTTTGCTTTCCCTCATGTTTGAGAAGTTAAGGGGTTATAGAAGTGGAGCACTTGCACTGGTTACAGTTGAGAATTTGTTGTCTCCTCTGGGCAGGTTACGGGCCTGGCTATGATGACGTGGTGCTGCACGGAGACGTGGATGAGGGAAAATTCTTGGCCTACTACACCAAGTGAGTGACAAGTCGAGAAATTCTGTGTTTTTGTATTTTTGGGGGGTTTTTTTGTTGTAAAAACGCAGACACACGTACAACACACACACACACACACACACACACACACACACACACACACACACACACACTCACACACACACACACACACACACACAAACACACATGCATCTGTGCACACACACAGGCACATACACATACACATATACACACACACACAAACACACACAAACACACACACACAAACACTCACACACACGCACACACACAGACACACACACATACACACCCATGCACACATGTACTCGTGCTTTGAACTTCCAAATTATTTTTCTTGAACTGGGATCTTTTGAAGAGTTTTTACAGGTTCATTCCTACTTGAGCCAGTCCTATTGGAGATGTATATTCACTTGGAAGTCCTGCCTGTTTGGTGTCTTTAATTTACCAAAAGGGATATATTCTTGTATTGATCAAACCTTTTTATCTAATATGGAGCTGACCGTCCAGGTGGGTTTGTTTGGGGATGCTGCTGGAAGGTCCTACTTCTTTTTTTTCTCTTTGTTGTTTCTGTCAGTATATCTTACTTTATCCCTGCACTATATTAGCATTATCGATGTTATGTAATGTGTGCTGCTAATTTCACCCTTCAATTTACTGGCATCTGTTTTTAGTGTTTAGGTGCTTGGCCGTAGCATGCAGGAGACCAGAGTTTCATTCCCATACAAGGAGAGAATTTTTGTAGAGTTTTTTTGAGAGTATCTCGGTCTTTCTGCTTGGACGTTGAATCGATCTCTCCTGGGTTGGCCCTGAGTGACAGTCAGGGTCAAAGTATGCCTCCGAAATGACCTAAATTATGTTGATAGGGGTGTAAGAACACCAACATTTTGAAGTTGAAGAAGAAAAAAAGGAATCCTCTCAGGTTGTTTATGTGTGTTTTGTACTTATATATTTTTCTATTCTTTTTCGACTTAAAAAAATAAATAAACTGGACCGGCTGGTATTGTCTGTGACCAAAATTAGATCAAATAGAGATGAATGAGTGATAAGGGCATCCTTGTCTTCTCACACGATTTCTTTCACTTCCAGGGCTGATCAGGTCGTTGCAGTTGCTAGTTTGGGCTGGGACCCTGTAGTTTCTCAAGCAGCTCAGCTTCTCAACCAGGGCGGCTCCATTTCGAAAGCTGAGATCACGTAAGTTTACCTATCATGTAAACCTATATGAATAGAAGGTTTTTTAGTTTTGATTTTAATAAGAGTTTTACTGCACTTGCAACACAATAAGTCCATATAAGTGCTGAAGATTAGAGGTGTTATAAGAGAGTAACAAACACCAAAAAGAAGAGATAAGGAGATAAGGACGATAGATGTTTGATAGGAAAGAGGGATCAAACTACACCAGAGCATCTGTTCACATAGGTTTTTTGAAAGCTTGATTTGAAACCTCCTACTACTCTCAAATCAGCTTTTGTCAGAGCTGGAGAGCTTGATGATACTGTTAGAGTGAGGAAGGCAGAGGAGAAGTAAGGGTAAAAAATGTGTGTCACGACTTAATGGAAAAATGAACTCATCAATTTTAGGGCATGTAGAGTTATTTAGTTAGTATCATCTTAAAGGGTATATGCGGATCGGAAATCGGGTAAAAAATAGCATTCAATTTTGATGAATTTCGATTTTTCAACCATTTCTATAGGTCGTCATATGATTAGTTCTACTTAAGGAAGTTCGCTTTCTGAAATAAATTGCCCTTGAAATATATAGGTACAGGTCTTTCCTAGTGTGTTTTGATAAAAAACAGCTCATAAAATGAGCCAAGTAACGTCCTAATTCAAACAACACATTGCATCCTTCCATGAGGTGTTTGGTATCGCTGTTGACCTCATTTTCCGCTTTTTTGAGTTTCACGAAAGGAAGCATGGGAACAAAATAATAGAGAAATTGTCAGTGAATTTGACTTTTTTGGTCATTTTTTGGGTGATTTTCTCATTTCACAAGTTTTTTCAACAGAAATTCGTATTAGTCAAATATTTGTAAACCAAATTGGATGAAACTTTGTACACAGGTCTATTATGTTGTGCACATTCATACAACAGGAATGTTTGATTTGTAAAGTTCTTTACAGTGTATCCAATTTCAAAGAAATCTTTTACTTCAAGGCTCGTAGCTTCTCGCTTCTCTGTCTGTTACACTGACTTTCCAGTAGTTATTTCCCCTGAGGCACCTTCTCTTCTGCTTTTCATTCTGCACTGCTACCCCTCTTCCCTCTATATACTCATTGAGCATTGCCAGTGGTGCACTTGCACTCATGAGAAAAGTCACAGAGTCGGGACAATATATAAAAACAAAGGACTTGTCTCCAAAATCATTTTCTGAATCTGTAGCCGTTACAAATTGGCCAAGTTTTTAAATTGTCAAAATAACTTTTTCAGTTTGTCTGGGTTTGTTTTTTTGGTTTTTTTAACTTTCAGAGACAACAACCCTATAAAAGACAAGCCTGAGAAAAGTTTCCACACCAGGTGGATAAAAATATTTGTACCTTTGAAAAGTCTTAGTTCTTACTCAATGTGTTTGTTTTATTCACTTTTTTCTGCTTAGCAATACATTGATGTATCATGAAAGTGAATTTCTGGTGTATAGAGCTTATAGACTACACAACACTAACTCCTCTTCTCCTTTATTTAAATTATCTGATGTACTGCACCAGTGTATCATGTATCTGCTGAGTCATATGTTATAATGGGTGGATGTATGGGCCAAAGGCCTTTCTCCGGATCGTTAACAACAATGGGCCAAAGGAATTACAAATCAATAAAATCATCTTGAAATTTGGAAATCTTCTCCAGGTCGGAACCAAGCAGCTGGGTGAGCCGTCTGTGCCAGTAGGACTCGGGGGCCGTGGTGGAGACACCGAGATGTATGCACGCTCCGACTGCACCTGTCATCTGGGATTTTATTGGCATGAATCATAAGTTCATAGAAGCCACTCCCACCCCCGCCCCACCCCCCTGCCGACTGCTCCTGTTCATCTGAGTTTTATTGACATAAATCAAAAGTTCATAGAAGCCACTCCTCCCCCTTCCCTTCCCCTCACCATGAATCATGAACTTTATGCAAATACATATATGCCTGCTTGTTTTTAATTGTGTCATTTCATCAACAAGGTGAGGTGACCACCACCTATGAACACTTCTCTTCCTGCTTCCTGTAGGGGTTTTTACAACCGCTCAAAGCCACCGCAGAATGCCATCTTCCCATCACGACTTGGCTGTAAGTGTACTTCACATTTTTGTGTCTGATTAGGAAAAGTGGAGCCTTTTTAAGGACTTTTCCTGTAAACAGAAAGTGTTTTTCATGGCAGTTTTAGGGAAAAATGAGCACCTCTGCTTGACTTTACTTTATTGACCGAGGGAAAAAGATTGTGTTGGTGTAGCTCATTTTTCTTGTGACAGCGACGATATCTTAATTCTACAGGAGGAATTGAGGATTGTCTAAAGCAACCAGTGTGTAGATTAGAAACATGAAAGATAAGTGCGTTTGTATTTGTCAATGTATCTGTTTCTGTTTTGACTGTGATCCACTGTTTTATGCTCAAGTATGTAATTACGACTCTCCCACATCAAGCTTAAGTGTGAAATCTATTAGATAAGAAAATTTAAATGTTAACTATTACAGCTTGCTGAAAGACGGGCAATGAAACAAATAGAAAAACTTTGATACGGTAATAATTTCTTTAATGTCAAAATGGCAAAGCACTAGGATTGCAGGACATGACCTTTTTGCTGCTTTAGTGAACTTGAAATGACAGCAGCTTTATTTTTTTAAGATGAAAAACTCTTTAAGAGTTCAGATAACAGGGGAAGAAAAACTTAACTAAAGGTTATAATGACCATTTAAAAGGTCAGCTGAGAAGAATGATTAAGAGAGTTGAATACTCGAATAGTGTGAGACTGTCCTGACCCTGACCTTTCTTGACAGCTGGTCATGTTGGGTTGGGTTTTTTTTGGTGGGGGGGGGGGGGGGGGCATTTTTGGCATCCTTATGATTCCAGAGCTAGTGAGGTCACAAGTACCATAGTGCTATCTTTGGTTATGGTGTCCTCCACAACCCCCCCCCGCCCCCTCTCTCTCTCTCTCTCTCTCTCTCTCTCTCTCTCTCTCTCTCTCTCTCTCTCTCTCTCTCTCCCTCCTCTCTCTCTCTCTCTCTCTCTCTCTCTCTCTCTCTCTCTCTCTCTCCCTCCCCCTCCTCTCTCTCTCTCTCTGTCCTCCCTCCCTCTGTCCCAAATCACAGTGGAGAGCCAGTTATCTTAATTTGTTTATGTTTTCCCTTTTTCCCATTTTTAGTTAGAATGTAAACAAAGGGATCAATAAAATTGTGCATATTGTTACTTTTTTACACTTGTCATTTGTTAATAGTTATTTCTGCCAGTTTTACTCAGTCTTGGTTTGGTTTTTTTTCCTTTTATTTATTACTTACTTGTATATTGTCAGTCTGTGACATGCTTGTACTTTAGTTAAAGTTGACCTAGTGGTTATGCTCTGGGCTCATATGGTTGTGGTTTCGAAACCCATCTGAGAGTCAACGTTGTGTCTTTGGGAAAGGCACTTTACATGGATTTTCCTCTCTTGACTCAGGTGGGAATGGGTACCAGGCTATAGATAACGAAAGGTCTTGTCAGTTTGTTAGTGTTTGAGCACGTGCAATCCCCAGCTTGCACTGGATGCTGCCTTGGAGGCCGAGAATTTTTCTGAGTGTTCAAGGGTCTTCTGTCTAGGTAATAATAGTTATTAAGCACAGAGTGCATGCTGTAGAGTGTGGACATGCGCTGTATAAATGTAATATTATTGTCATTTTAAAAAGGTCACAGGTGTCGTAACAGTGTGCTTGTGTCACCGTGACTGCGTTGGTGTCTGTAGTATAATAGTTAGGTACTTTACCATTGCTTGTAGAAAACAAAGCGTTTGATTCCCGTATGGGGATGTTATTTTATCTATTATCTGCCTTTGTTGGGATGCTTGCATTCTATCTAGTACCTCTGTTTTTCCAGCGGGAAATGTGTCACACACAGTAAGAGTGTGCTATTATAGGCAGGGTTGAAGCTTAGTTTTAATATGAGTTTTACGACTCTTGCAACACAAATAGGTTAGACGAGTGCTGAAGATTAGAGGTGTTACAAAAGAGAGTAACATTCAAAGAAAAGGAGGAGGAGAAATTAAATAAGAAAGATTAATGTTTAATGGGAAAGAAGGAAGGAACCACACCAGAGCATCTGCCAGCTTCCCACTGTGTTGAAGCAGTTCAGCGTATGACGATCTGTACCTTGTTTCGATAAAGGTGTAAAACATTCACAACTGGAACTACATTGTGTAATGGTGATAACACTTTGATTCCCCAAGATTTTTTGTTTTTTTATATTCATATTTTTGTTTATTTTGTGCGTGTTTTAAAGATACAAATGTGAAGCATGCTGACAAAATGAGTTACTTCTCGGATTCAAGCACTATAAAAATAGATACATCACGCTTATAGATGAAGTTTTTACAATTTATAAGTATGAAATAATGAAAGGCATGTTATAGTCAAAGTATATGGCATCAGTAGAAAATCTTCAAATTTGACCCTAGTGTCGATTTTTGGCAAATATCTCCATTTATGGATTGTGAGAAGTAACTCATTTTGTCAGCACGCCTCACAAATGTGTTTTATTTTGTATGGTACTATTCAGAATAGGATGATGATTACCAGGTCATAATAATATGGATTTTGTTTCTTAATAAAATATGAAAATGACACTCTACCTTTTTGATGTTTTCTGATGATCCCATTGTAGGACAGTTGTCAGTCTCTGAGTCGGCTTATAATTTATTGTTTTTGTTTCATTTAAAATTTTTTTAGGTCTGTTCTTAGTTGATATAATATTTGCTGTTCTAAGTCTTCCCATCATGTTTATGTACTGTTTTATTTTGTTTGTTGAATGTTTCTGAATAAACATGGGGAAGTTTTCCAACTACTCTCTCTCTCTTGTGTGTTTCCATTATTTTAACAAATTAATGCTTAAGAGTGGATTTTAAAATTCTTTATTCTGTGAAAGTCTGTGTGTGGATGGTTGGTTGGTGCTCTGGTGAGGTTTGCTCCTTTCCTATCAAAAGTCCATCGTCCTTATCTCCCCTCCTTTCCTATCAAAAGTCCATCATCCTTATTTCCCCTCCTTTCCTATCAAAAGTCCATCATCCTTATCTCCCCTCCTTTTATATCAAAAGTCCATCATCCTTATCTCCCCTCCTTTTATATCAAAAGTCCATCATCCTTATCTCCCCTCCTTTCCTATCAAAAGTCCATCGTCCTTATTTCCCCTCCTTTCCTATCAAAAGTCCATCATCCTTATTTCCCCTCCTTTTATATCAAAAGTCCATCGTCCTTATTTCCCCTCCTTTTATATCAAAAGTCCATCATCCTTATTTCCCCTCCTTTTTTATCAAAAGTCCATCATCCTTATTTCCCCTCCTTTTTTATCAAAAGTCCATCATCCTTATTTCCCCTCCTTTTTTGTGTTTGTTACTCTCTTGTTCGATGCTGTGGTGGAGCGGTTAGTGCTCTCGTCTCCGAAGCGGAAAGACCTGGTTCGAGCCTTGGTTCGGGCACTGATTTTTTTCGCCCCTTCCTTCCCACCCAGCAGTAATGGGTACCTGACTTCGAGTTGGGGAAGTAAAGGTGGCGTGGAAAGGAGCAATATGCCGATGGCCCAGGAAGTGGTCTCACTAACAAGGCAATCTCCGCCCGATATCCGGATTGGATGCGGGAACAACTTTTTACTCTCTTGTAATACCAGTAGTCTTAGGCACATATTGTATGACCTTATTTTGTTGCGAGTGCCGTTAAAATTACTTAAACTTAAAAAAAAACAACCCACTAGGAAAGCATAAACACAGAAACGAGAACAAAGCCAAACAATAGTTTTATCGTAGAGTCAGAAGTAAATTTGAACATGTACGGCTCTCATTGTCTGTCAGTACAAACTGAGATAGTTCTTCTCTTTGAATTTACATGTAAAGATTAGATATAAGATAAATCTGCATCTGGACAATAAAGAAAGATTTGATCTTATCTTACCTTTATCTTGTGTACTGGGGACACAAGAAGCTTACCCCTTTGCCCTGCTACTGGATGTACTGGTATATACTGGACGTATGGAATTAACCTGTCAATGACGTGCTGCCGTATAAATATGGTTCTTAAAGATAGATAGATAGAGAGATAGATAGAGAGAGAGAGAGAGATTGAGAGAGACAGAGAAAGAGAGATTTGGGGAGGGGGTGTGGGGTGTGGAGAGAGAATGTAGTGTTGGAAAGGAGACAGAGTGTAAGGCGGAAGAAAAGGTATAACCATTCTGACCTTGTGAAACATAATATATATATAGCCTACACACAAATGCTTTTTTTGTGCAAAGTGTCTTTTGCCCCTATCGACACTATTTTAGATCATTTAAGAGATAGGTTCTGGCCCTAACTGCCAGGGTCAGCTGGGCTGAGAGGGACACAATATCCGGTATCTGGCAGGAAGATCGAGATATTTGAGAAAAATTCTCCCCACCCGGGAATCAAACTCGTGTCTATTGCATGCGACAAGGAAGGGTGTAATTGCTACACTAAAGACACTGGTCAAAAATGCTGCAAAAGAGAAGGGCAAAAGAATACATGCATATATAATGTGTGTGTGTGTGTGTGTGTGTGTGTGTGTGTGTGTGTGTGTGTAAATAAAAGACAATTTTAAAAAGCTAAAAAAAAAGAAAAGAATTATAATTTTAATATTTACATATTTTTGCTGGGAGATAAATGACTCAGGATTTCCTTCCTGACAGTAACGTCTTGTCTTGACACCTGACTTTTTTCACTAACACGTTCTTGACCTCTTGACTAGGGCTTGGACATCGAAATATTTTTAAAAGATCGTACATACAGAAGATTGTTCAGTAAGCCAAAAACAGTGTCAGCGGAAGTCCGCGCATTGCTTCAAATGGAGCTGCAGTCTTTGTTTTAAAACTCCGAAATTTTCTTTCGTTTCCCCAGAAGAAGAATAGCAGAACTCATTAAATTCACTTTGATTTTTTCCCCCACAAGTAGGGTAATTGTTCACAAAGCCGGCACTTTTTGGAAGAGGGCGCCTCCGGATTTTGAGGACACTTATTTTTTTACTTACTTTACTTTTTCATCCTCTGTTGCCGTTAAGCGTCGAGGGGAGATGCAGTTTTCTATGGTAGGCCAGCCCCGCAGCTCTTTCAGTTGTGATGTTATTATGTTTTATTAGGGTTTCCTTGACACCCTCGATCAACCTTTTTGCGTAGCCTTCCTCTTCTTTTATAACCTGAGTGCTTGGTGTTGTAGGCTCTCGAGGCTGGCTGGTCAGGTGACATGCGTAACAGGTGGCCAAACCAATTTATCCTCTGTCTTTCTATGTAACGCAGGCAAGACTCCGTGCCAATAGCGGCTCTTACTTCTTCATTTCTCTGTCTGTCTCGTCTAGTGATGTTAAAGGTTTAGCGCACTTTTAAAAAAATTGGCTCAAAGAGAGGAGTGAACCATATTATATCATGCACGATCTTTGATGAAAGTGAAGGTATGATTTTGTGCTGGAGTTGGTGTTGTTGTTAGTAGTATACGTGTATTATTATTATTATTATTATTATTATTATTATTATTATTATTATTATTATTATTATTATTATTATTATTATTATTATTATCATTATTAATAGTATTATTGTTAGCAGCAGTAAAAACAGGAGCAGTTTGGAGTGCTTGTAGAAGGAGAAGAAAAGGAATTGTCGGGAAGAGAGAGAGAGCGAGAGTACCTTTTAATTATATACCGGTA